TTTCACATCTTCAGCGTGTTCCATACTTCGCGCACGCCTTGTGCTTGCCTCTGCTCGCGTGGAAAAAGTAAATAAACAGGCTACCCCATCTCCCCCTCCCGCATCACTCCTCCGATGGTCCATCCTTACGTGGCGTCATTTTACGAGACACAGGGCTGCCTAACCGCGCGACAGGTGGTCAGAAGCGCGTTCTAAAACAGGACTCGTACGCGAACAATCGGTCTAACACAGGTAAAAATACTGGTTAAGTTTGCTTACCTTGGTGTCTGTCATGTATGAGGCGCTGTTGACAAAACGAAATAGTAGAGGTTATGTTTTGACCGGAAGTTGACATTCTCGCTCGAGTATTCAAGTCGGTGTAACGCAAAATTTAGCAGCGTTAATTCAATTTGCTGATTAGAATCCCAGCTCGGAGGAAACAAAAGAAAGATTATCAAGTACTTTTATCGAATGAAGGCTGTCTTTCAATACTATAAGATGGGAACGAATTTATACTCTGCTAGCTTAGAACAAGATTTGAAAGATTTTGAATAACAATCACGGGTTTAAGATAACACGTGCGTGACACTTGATTTCTCTTCTAAAAAGTTCGTAAATAAAATATTTTTATATAATTTATCTACACGGCTGGATTTCGGATAAAATGTTCTTCAAGAAGTGATGTTTTACAGGCATTTATTTATCAGACCAAAGATACTTTTATAAGACGGAAAGTGTAAAGAAAGTTTTCACGCATGTAAATTGATCACAGAGGGGAAGTCACAAGACTTCGAGGTCAGACCACAAGGCTTTTATGATCAGAACAAAGGAATGTATCAATTTTTGACCCTTTGCTGACAAACTAACTTGTAAAAAGCAGATGATTTTAACCTCACTTACTCATAGCCCTCTATTTGTTTCTTCTTGAAATTCAAGTCTAAAATTTTTAATGCCGTGTTGAGTACGATCATTCTGACGACACGGGAGGCTGATCATGAAACTTGCTTCAAAACAACCTGAGGAATGCTCTTTTACTGTAAAATTGTCCACGCTAGACCTCACATAACACATACACGCAAATAGGAGAAATCAAAATCAACTGGTGACATTCATCTTGCGTAAATGACAACATTAGTCGTTATGGTATAAAACATTAGTCGTTATGGTATAAAATACTCAAATACCTCCGGTTGTAGTTCGATAAATTGCTACAAACACGAGTCAAGGTGGACAAATTTCTGGAAGCGTAAATCTTGGTGCCTTGCCGTAGGAATGAAAAGAGTGGACGCCATGTTCCAATCATGCTTTTAAAAGCTTTGAAGATATTGATCTAAACTTCGAAAGCGTTAGCTCAAGGAGACAGTCATAAAGCGGAGAGCCGTGTATACAAATTATCATATGGAAATAAATTCAATAAC